TATAAACTTTTTTGACGATAAAAAATTTCACAATTTTGACTTTTTCGAGAATTTAGAGACTTTTCGAGGGCAATGCAAGAAACACTTACAATAGTTGAGCTCTAACTTCTCCGGCAAAAAGTAAGCGAAGCCTAATATACCCTCTAAAAAAGTTGCTGTTTATAAAGATGGGTTATAAAGATGAGTTAAAAAAATCGTCGGAAAAGACCTAATTGTGAAAAGGTTCCTCAAGAGACCAAATTTGTCCTTCGTCTGTTTCCGTTTAAATGCATATTTAAATGAAATAAATCTGACTAAATCAATATACCAGTTCGCTGGCTTTTTCATAAAATCATTTACGTTATGGAAGGTGTGCTATTCCCGTGGTCCTCAAAGTTGCGTTTATGGGCAATTAGAAGAAAAAAAAATGTTGTTTCACCTTCTTTTCGACGCAATTTTTTTTCTAAATACAAGGTAATATTTTGCAAAAGTGAGGTCCGTCCAATTGTGTGGACATGCGTTTTTCTAGCTCATGTATTTGATTTAAAACAAAAAACAAATAGGCGTGGCACCCCAATAACCACCCTTATCTGACAACACCCTCTAGTGCTTGACAGTCGACGGAAGATTCTAGATCTACGAGACACTGTGACGATAATGACACTCGCGTTCTCTCTAGACGTTTCTCCCAACTTGTACCTTCGGCTTCTGTGACGCCATTTCTTGCCACTTTGGGACCGTGTTTCATGTATGGGCGGGATAGGACGCCTAGCTATGGTGCCTGGAGCGAGCCTCCGACTGGTGTGTTTAGCGTCCTATCCCGCCCATACATCAAAAGTAGTCCCGAAGTGGCAACAACGAATTACGTCACAGAAGCCGGAGTGCCGTGCTGTCGGATGTCACAAAACTGGCAGTTGGTCGTAGAAATTCTGGCGAAAAGGACGAGCGAACGCGAGTGTCGTTGTCGTCACGGCGTCCCAACTCCTGGCTGCCGAAGCTTTCGTGGACTGCCACACTGTAGGGCAACCTGCAGCAAAACAGACGTCTGCCGCATGCACTAACGCTGCTGGCACATCGCTAGGATCGCGACCGGCGACAGCATGACGCTTCTATGACGTCACAAAGCAGAAATCGAAAGAACACTTTTTTTGACGCGGTAAACACACCAGTCGGAGACGCGTTCTAGGCACAATAATGGCACTACACACTCCACGAATTCGTTACCGTTAGCGCGAGGGAAAACGAGGAGACAATAGAGAGTTTTCGTAGATCGTCTTCGCCGTCCCGCAACGCTTTCCGCAACCCGCTACGATACCGGCAACTCTACAGCCAAGGCTATCGGCGCGCAGGCGCAGTAGCGACTTCTTCGTTGCGGAGGGCTTAGCGGAGGGGGAAACACGATCTACGAAAACTCCCTAATAGGGAGTTTTCGTCGATCGTTTTCGCCGTCCCGCAACTCTCTCCACAACCCACTACGATACCCGGAACTCTAATGTCAAGGCCATCGGCGCGCAGGCGCAGTAGCGGCTTTTTCGTTCCGGAGCGCTTAGCGGAGGGGGCATAGAGTTATTATAATGTACGCTAGAGGTACAAGTGGCGCTAGTGTGCTGACGCAAATTGAAGCAGACAGCAACCAGTCGAAAATTGACTTCCGGTAATGCATTTCTATGGGAAAAAGTGCGTGCATTTTCTCGCTGCGCTCGATCACAAGAGCAAATATCCCAAATAATTCGTACGTACTATACTTCGTTTCAGCTTCGGTCCGAGCGCGGCCGATGTTATGAGCCGAAGAGCCAATCAAAGAGCGCAAAAAGCGCAGCGTCGTGGCGTGCTCGCTGCGCTTGATAGGACTAGCCGGCGGAGGAACGCGCACGGAGAGACGGCGAATACCGGCTGGTTCTATCAACTGCAGAGAGCACGCCATGATGTTGTGGCTCTTTCGCTGTTTGATTGTCCCTTCGGTTCATAACATCGGCCGCGCTCGGACCGAAGCTGAAACGAATTATAGGTAGATTGGAACATTTCACAGTCAGGCCGACGAAAGAATTGGTCAGTTACGGTGTTTTTCTTTCAAATTCATTGCATTAAAGACGGTGCTAAAACGGCTTCGTACGTGTATTTATGTGCACTGTCGGACACTGTTAGCGAGAACGCGGCGTCGGCGATTTCGAGCATGAGGGATATACGTGCTAAACGAAAGAAGGACATCTGGAAAATCAAGAGCTGCGGCAAGAACTACGCACTAACACTGGATCAGTAACTCGCAGTGCATTTGAAAGTAAACATATTCGACAGATATCTGCCTGGTTGGGTGAGAGTTAAAGTCTGAAAATATATCTCCAACCAAAAAAATGAAAGGCAACCCGACGTTTCAAAACCAACACGGTTTCTTCTTCAGGGGTGACTGAAGGCGCTGTGTCCGCGCGCCTTCAGTCACCCCTGGAGAAGAAAGCTTTTGCGTGCGCTTTTCTAAAACTCCCGAATATAGAGTTTAAGGAAACCGTTTCTGCCCATCCAATACGGTACGACGAGGCCTCCGGTGCGCACTGCTAGCCGGACGCAAACAAATACCAACAAAAAGACGACAAAACCTATCAAGATGACTGGCTCATTGCTGTCGGTTGTTATGGTGACCAACATTTCAGATCTTTTCAAAGCTTCGATGCTTCGAAAGTGTCGTTAAAACAAATCGCACCAAGATCGCTATGAAGCATCATCGTACTGAAAGCGATCCTCGGCCAATATAAACGCATTTGGCACTGTGCATGCAATAAACTTATCACTCATGCTTATTTCAATAGATCTCTTACAATTATGTTGCTCTTATTGCGTGTTTCAAGACAGTAAAGTTATTTTTCAGAGCCTCCGAGCACTAACGTTGCGTGTGATGGCGGTACAAATCGGGAGTGCTTGCGTCTGTGGAACATAACTGTGGAACGCATTTATATCGTAGAATAAATTTACGCCGCATGTAGCGTGTACTTCTGGGAGAAGACAAGTGTAGAAGATCATGAACATAAAAATCGCAGAAATAGAAAAGAAAGGTACAGGAACCTCCAAACTAAAAAGCTGTCGTCGACGCATGTGTCACGATAAAAAAAAAAAAAGAAATATATATATATATATATATATATATATATATAATAAATTCTTGCATGTACGATAAGCCTTCGGAGCCGTAGGGTCTAACAACATGGCGGACATGGAAGATGAGCTAATTTATTTTCACATTGGCCAACATTTATATATATATATATATATATATATATATATATATATATATAGATATATACATACACACATGGAAGATGAGCTAATTTATTTTCACATTGGCCAACATTTATATATATATATATATATATATATATATATATATATATATCAGGGTGTCGAACCGGAACCGAACCGAACCGAAAACCGGAACCGAACAGGTATTTTTTCCGGAACTGAACCCGAACCCGAACCGTTATATTGTTATCGCGATGAACCCGAACCGGAACTGAACCGGAAAAAAATATAACGGTTACCGGCTCATGTCAAAACGGTTCGGCCACGCGCTGTTGACAATGAATGTGCTATCAATGCCATTTGTTTTTTAAGTGCCGTCAACTGACACACACCTCGCTTACATATTTTTCTTCTCCACTCAGTCTTAGGAATATAAACGCTGCATCCATGAATCTTGACACAGGAACCAGTATTGCGCTGGTCGCGACTTTCACGGAAGAAAAAAAATTAGAAGGTTGTGCAAAAAAAAAAAAAATCGCGTCACGGGATTTCATTTTCCTACAGTCTCGTAAATCCTAAATGCTGCTGTGTGCTCATTTCATAACACGTTTCTAGAACGCGCGAGTTCTTGAAGCTTGCTTCCATCGGAATGAGAAAAGAAAAGGCTGTGGAGTTTGATAATAATGCATCCGGTTTCGTATAGGCACTTAGAGGCTAACATATTTGTGAGACAGCGAACTCTTCTATTTTAATATTTATCCTATTACGTCCTTCTGGCGTTGCGTTCGGTGAAGTGTTTTTCATATTCCGTATCTTGTTTAATGAAAACTTCTTTAAGGGTCTAATTTGAGTTACCGAAGGCTAGTTCAAATAAAGAAAGCTGTATTTTCTCCCCACTGTTCCTTCAATTGCTTACGCGCCGAGGTGGCGGGATAGTTAGCGAGTTCTACTTGTAAGTGGGTTTGTAAGGAGGTCGCGGATTTTACAGCTATACTGCGTCGGACCCAATTAGATGAAGTCCGAATGCGTAAATGTCGGTGAGGTAACCTTTGAGTGCACATAAAGAAACCATTCCTGGTAGAAATCGCTGAGCCTTACACTACGATGTATCCCGTTTCGTATGTGCTGATTTCAGATGTTTTATTTGTAATTTATTTTGATGTTAATTTGTCATTTATAATTTCCGAACCGGTTCGCGAACCGGTTTAGCGCCCTGAACCGGTTCGCGAACCGGTTCGTGGATCGAGTTAATCGAACCGGAACTGAACCGGAACAAAATAAATTTACCTGAACCTGAACCGTAACCGAACCCGTATTTTTTTCGGTTCGACACACTGATATATATATATATATATATATATGAATGTTGGCCAATGTGAAAATAAATTAGCTCATCTTCCATGTCCGCCATGTTGTTAGACCCTACGGCTCTGAAGGCTTATCTTACATGCAAGAATTATTGATAATTTATATCATTTGAAGCCAGAGTAGGCTCAAAGTATAAGTCACGGGAACACCATGCACTCAAACTAAACGCGCATAATCATGACGATCGTTTCGTGTTTGACTAGATCAGCAGGCGATAACACACCTGCAGAAAAAATGGCGCCGCCATGACATTGCGCTTTGTGTGCCGCTTGATTGGGCCCCACCGGATCCTCCCAGTGGTTGCGCTTAAACTTACGGTGAAACAAAATACGATACATTAGTGAGAAACAAGCGATACCGTCGTAAACAAACCATAAGTTTTTGTGATGTTTACAAGCGCTCTAGCAATCTTTAATTCTTTTAAGGGGAAGGATACCCTCGTGAAAACAAACCGGAGGGACCGTACCCAACTGTGGTAAACAGGACGGATGGCAGCGTGGCACTCGTCACTCAAGATTTCTGGTTTGGAAAGTTTCTTGGTTTCCTCGAGGTAATCTTCGACACCCAAGGACGCGTCAAATCTTGGAGTGGAAACCCTATTCTAATGGATTCATCCATTGAAGAAGGTAATTCACCATTTTAAACTAACTTTCGTCTAACTCCAGACCTTCCGCAGATCTTGTTGCAGCCAATCAAACCAATTTTTAAATCAGCTGGCAGTAGTAGGAATTTTTCGTTCAGACTTCAGTGTCTGTGCTCTGACCCTTGCGACCGTGTTCATGTTTAATAATGACGTCTTCACTATAAACGAAAAAACACCGAACTACTTTGTTCGTCGGTGGACAGGGGTTAGACTTTAGAGTAGTTTTGCTACATGCTTCATCTTTTCCACGGATACTCTTCCCTTTCCCGTCCTGTAAACTTCCTTTCTGCTATTTCACGAAACACGTACATACACTTACCACCTGTTTGAGATTTTGTTTGACAAAAGGCTGCATGGCTTCACAGGAGCGCGGTAGTGGACAAGACGAACTCCAGCGCGAAGCACCCGGCACATCACAGACTGAAGGTGAAATGCGCAAACAAACAGCGAAATTCACCTTTTTTTTTTTTTTACTTAAAGACAGCAAAAACAGAACCATGCACTTCCAGAGAACGGCTCTTAAAAATACAACACACAAAAATGTTTTCTTTGTGTAGGTACGAAGTACCATTGACCGTAAGTACAGGAGTGCGGTTCTGTGTTGTAGACAGTCAAGGAGACCAGTGCGTTTTCAAAGTGAAATTCACGATCACCACTTATGTGTAGCCTCCAGGCTACGCTTTTTTCAAGCAATACCATCTAGCAAACAAAACCTGCCCCCCCCCCCCCCCCCAAAGAAAAAAAAGAAAAAAAGACATTTTTAAGGTAGATCCTCGCAGCGCTGCCCACCTTGCGTCAGCATCGCTTTCAGCGCGTCTCGCAGCATCTCGCAACAAGCGCGACGTAGCCACGTAGTGTCGCCAAGACAGACGCGTCTTCCGCTTTTCGGCGAAGCGCGTGTGTCGCCTCTGGCGGCTCGTTGACCGCTAACAATGACGGCATGCGTATGCCTTGTCTTCTAGCTGGTATTAGTAGTGTTTTACCATAGGTTACTACAATTTTTGGCCTTCCCGAACGTTACCACCTGTTTTACGCTAAGGTGCATCACCCACTCTACTATCGTTTGCAGACGAATGCATGGTCCGGGTGTTGCGGCCTTTCGCCGAAAAAATCGCCAATGCGAGCAAAACTCGCGTCGGAAGCTCCAAGGTGTTACTTGAACAAGACAATAATGTGTGTCGTATCCAAGAATGCAATCTGGGAAACGCCATCGCGGACTCCTTCTTCGAATACTACGCGAATGAGGAGACCCAAGACAAGGAACTCTGGTCAAACGTGAACGGAGCGTTTGTGAATGGTGGGTCAACCAGGGCACCTCTGCCGCAGAGCGGTACGTATTGTAACATTGATCATATTAACTACTTGGTTAACTTTTTTATCATTTCCCATAATTAGTATTATGCGAATTCTAACATTTCGGCTCGAATTGAATACAGGGAGGAACTGAGAGGAAAGAGGAGATGAGATCAAGCAAGAACATTAGAACGCCTAACTCTGATTGAAATGACTAGTGAGTATGCGTAAACACCAGCTGTCGTTGTCTCCACACAAGGTTCGAATGCATTCTAAAGTCGCGTGCCAACCACGTTCGACGTTCAAGCGTTTTCGAACAGTTGGTAGACAAAGACGCCTAGCCGTTGCGCCTACCTAATAACCATTCCAATTAGAGCTCAGCGCTCCGACGTCCCCGCGCCCTCTCACCTCCTTTTCTTCCTCGGTTTCTCACCGTATGGTGCAGAATAGTGACCAAAAGTAGGATGTCGAATCGAATATTGAATAGCAAAACGTTATTTACAATGCACAATGAAAAGACGCAAAGACAAAAAATGAAGCCCATTTGCTACGCTGAGCGAAAAAATTCTGTGCTAGTGACACCTTAGCAATGACAAGCTTGAGACGCAATTGAAGAAGGCCGGCTACGCGTAGACACAAAGTTTGCAGCGTGTTGGATGGATGAATAGATACTTCTAAAGCGGGAGAATCGGGCGTCTCGCTCCATGTAGCTTCGGCGCCACACTCAACACACCGGGGAGCGACGGACTAAGCATGTAGCACGCAATGCTGGCGGAAGATGATGTTAGATACATAAATTGAAGATCAAGACGTACACAGTGTGTACGTTTTCGTAAACCGGTTGATGAAGCTCAAGGAATGCAACCAACAAATCACTTTTTTTTCTCAAAATGGTTTGTCAGTCAAGGCATGTTTATGTAGACTTGGTTTACACCCAGCGTAGGCCTGCGAGGACATCTCACTGTAATGACTGAGTTCTTGAAAAACTCAAACTTTGTCCGACAACATTCAATGTCTCGAATTATTCACAATCTCGAACATAATATATCCCAAAATTTGTTAAACTTATTCTTGAAATCACTAGGCAATTCGAATTCTAAGCTCGAATATTCGCGAGCCCATAGTTAATATACTTACTAAAGTGCCAGCGTGGGACATAAAAAAAAGTAAAAATAAAAAAAGACAGAAGGAAATGATTATTAATAAACATTTGCATCAAAAATAGTAAGAGTACAACTTCAGAATTAAAACTTGCCGCACGACAATATAGTATACAGAGGGAACATTTTCAGCAACATGCTTCACGAAAACAAAATATTAAAAGAAAAAAAAAACCTTGGTAAAAAATCAAATTAAAAAAAAATAGATATGCAGAGAGACCGCGAAGACCAACCCGCTCCTTTACAGGGTAATACGTGATATTTCGAGACAGAGAAAACAAGTTTGATCTGATAGGTTCCTTAATCGCCAGTGCTTCCACTTTCTTTCCCCACCCTTTTCTACTTTTTCTACTCACTTGTACATGCTACACTATACAGTAAAGAAACGAAATGTAGCAACATGGAATATTCATACAGAATCTCAACGAATGCTCACTTGGAATAATGGACAATATTGCCGCGAGCGCAGCTGACCAAGTAGGCAGCGAGGCCCGTGGCCTAACGGTTATCGCGCTTGACTTCCATGCAGAAGGCCAGGGTTCGATTCCTGGCCGCAGATACACATTCTTGTTGACGCTGTAATGTTCTGGTAAATTCGAGAACCGTCTTGGCTGATTCGAGGATAGAATGTTCTACGCACCGATCCTTCTACGCCGATTGTTCCAGAAGCCCACGCGTGTACAAAAAAGGCTCCGCGTGGAGAGCCGGAGTCAGTTTCGCCCCAGAGTTCGATCCTGCTGTTTCGCCGCCATCGACGCCTACGACGCTAGAATTTTCTTTTTTCTATTTTGTTCTGGGCACAAGTTCGCCCCATTAAACGTCTAGTTTCTTCAGTTATCGCCTCATAAATTCTCATTCCTGATAATATTATTTTCAAGCCAAAAAACAATTATCTGAGAAAAGCACATTCAAAACTCCTGTTTTCAGAAAAAGCCTTAAACAGATCGTTACTATGTTTAATCTATCGCTGACTCAATAGAAAACACACAGCCATAAGTTTGTAAATTCAAATAATATAATTTAAGCAATACCTGGAAGAATCTAAGTACGTGTTTATAAGCCAAACTGTGAAGTGGAAAATCGTTCTTTTTTTTACATCTGATAAAAATAATCAAATCTGTAAAATTGAAAAAAAAAATTAAAGAAAGCCCTGCTGACTTTTGCACTTAGTATAGACTATATATGCTCATTTAAAATTAATGCTCCAACTAAAAACTGCAGTGTCTAGAGCCAAGGTGTACAATTAAAGGTTCGCGCAGGTCGAACCAAACTGTATTTGGAACCCTACGGTCGCTGTCTAACAAAAATAAAGTTGCTTTTTGCCCGTCAACGTTCCGACAATACCCACAATTATAAGGGCTCGTCTCGGCTTTCTGAAAGAGTTGCAAGTCATACGTATCGATGAATGCTATTAAACAGTTTTGTGTTTTTCAATAAAGTCGAAAAGTTTGAAAGTGTTATATGATTAGCATTAAATCTGAGAAATTATGTATTTCGGAGTGCATTAATTGTAAGAACACAGGCGTATCCAGAATTCCTCTTTTGCACCGAGATCATGGTGGCTTTTGCGAGGCTTTAAACCTCTACTTGCTGTATATTAAAATAAATTATCATTATTCTGGCAAGTCATTCGACGCAAAGTCGTTTTCATTTTGGAGGGTATTGCAAGTAGCAATCCCGCCCGCTATTTCTCTGCGAGTTCTGAACATGCACATTGTGAAACCGCCAGGCATGTCTAAAAATTAGGTCAATTTATAATGCGGATGTTCTCGAATATTTTATGCTTACATGATCTCAAGTGAAGACTTGCGCAGTTCCACGTGACCCAACGAAACCATATATTATTCTAGCGTCTTCATGTGCATGATCGACAGGAACGCATTGAAGATATTTTTAGCGTAGGTATTAAATGCCCGAAAGCTCCACTGAGCTGCGATTTTAAATAAGTCTATCTCCTAAAAAAAACTTTAATCTCCGCTTTTTAGTAAAGTTGGGTAGGACGATTTTCAGCTGTGAATAAAAAGCAAACGGAACTAGGCCACAAAAAAAAAAAATGCGTCTGCACCTTGTTTTTTGTATGTTATGCGACCCTGGTCTAGAGCAACTCGACTAGCATCAATTTTCTTGATCTGAATCGAGGCACGCTTTTAACATAAAAAACACACTTAAAAGTCGCATTGGCTTTTGCATATATATATCAAAAAGTTTATTTATTTATTTCTATCAAAAACATTGCTTATTGTGTGCTCAACAGTCAATGCACTACTACCATTCAACTGCACAATTATACGGTTGTTCATTATTGTCACGCTAAAAATCATGGGTTATACTATAAGATATCTGGGAAAAAAACGTCAACTTTTTTTCACGATTTTCTGTCGCTGTTTACACTAGGAGTTGATTATAATCAAAGTAAAATGGAACGATTTTTGTACTCTGCGCAAGAACCGCTTAGAAAGATTCCCTGTCGTTAATGACCTATGAAACACGCGTTCGTCTATCAACAGACGCAATAAAGGTAGCAAAAAAAAAATTAAAAACGAGCCGCGTTCATTTTTTCAACTCGCGATTACTCGCAGCCAGAACAAGCGGCCACGCGATCTGGAGCCCCCAATTGTGATCATAGCCACGCGCTGGTGTTGGCAAACAAGAGAGTCGCTAAGTTCTAGGCATTGTTATTGTTCGGCTATTGTCGTCATTGCAGCTATCGGACACTGGCCACTACCCGAATGCTTGTTAAGCTATTAATTATCATGAGCCGAAATCGAGAGCTCACGCAATGCTAGAGTCCAATCTATGAGCCGCATTTAAATACTGCGACCCCCAGCTATTCATCAAGATTTGTGAAGGAGAGATTTTAATGAAAACGCTCTTTTTTGTCCTTGAAATTACACCGCAACAAAGGAGTTTCTTGGCCAGGGCCCAGTGGTGTTGTGTGAAAGTACACTTCAGTCCCACCAGCGCCAGTAAGCTCGTGTAAAGTGAAAAACATTTCAAACGAATTTTGTTACACGGCCCCTTTAAAAGGTCCCTAAAAATAAAAAAAAATAAAATTTTTTTTTTTATCAGTTTGATTGATACACCCGTGTAAAAAAATAAGCTTTACTGGAAAAGACAATTTGGAGCAATATTGACGGTGAGAGGTTTATTTTAAAATCTGCGCGCGAAGTCCAAGACGTCACTGGTCATTCCGGAATGACTATCTCGGTCGTGAAGGCGAAGCCGCTTTACCTCTCCTCCACGCACCCGAAATGCTGAGAGAAAACAAGTGAAAAAGAGGTGAATGCCGACTAAATCGCGTCTCGCGCCGTCAATATTGCTCTAACAAAAATTTTGCGTAATTTTTTTTTTGACACGCTTGTTTTAATTAGATTGTTAAAAAAATTTTTTTTTTCTTTTATGGGGCCCTTTACGCATGCGGTATTAAGACTGTATTAGGCTAGCTCGAACGATTGTTGATGCGAATGAAACAAATGGGAACATATGAGAGGGATTAAAGCGTGCATAGCAAGCATATGCATAAAACCGGGTATCACTATAAAAAAACAGTCCTAAAACGTAGCGCAGAGAACACAGCATTTACAGTGTAAGCATTTAGATGCTGTTTGTTAACCTTACGTTACCGAATTGTAGAGTTTTAACAGTTTTTAACAGTTTTAAGAGGACGGTATTACTATCTGAAGTTCACTCTACCACTTGTAATTTTACTCTGAAGACAGCGCCCAAAGTATAATCTGGAGTTTAGAGCGCAGCTCTTCGGCCCCCGTTTCCGGGTTGAGCGGCTTTGCCGTCGCCGTCGGGGTCGGCGTAACCGCGCGTTGCATTATGGGACGTTTCCTATAAGGACGTCACGAGGGTCACGAGTGACGTCAACCTCAAGACGTCACACGGGCATTCCCTCCCCTCCTCCTCCTTAAGAGCTGCGCTCTAATTCGGCATAAAAGAGAATTGTACACGTCTTTCATTCTTTTTTAAAACGACTGATATTGTCCGCCCATAAAACTCAAAACAGGCAAACAATTATAAAACCACTGCTGACCCCAGTCCTTGGTAGCACCACATCTTCACACTCGTGTTTTTTTGTGACCAGTCAGTGAGAGTCAAGCATGAAAAGGTATTGATAGCAAGGTTGTGAACAAGGTTAATGTATATTTTCCTTTTCTGCAAAAGGGTTTCCACTTCAGAAACAGCTAGGTATGATTATTCCTACTTGTGCTCCTTTTCCGAAATAGCTAGGTAAGAGAGCATCATTAACACTCGACGTCCGGAAAAATGGCTGGTACCTCTTTAGCGCAAAAATTATCTTTCACAATACCCCAATAGAACCTCTCAACTGTTCTAAGTAAATAGTATATTAACGTGAGATATATCTTCTACTTTGAAAGTTGATTTACCTTTGTCTTGTAGTATTTTGATGTATGTTTTATATTTTGTTATTGTATTGTTGTCAGCATCGTAAAATATGAGTAGATATGTTTGTTTTCTTTTGTTTTTTACTTTTACTTTTTTGGAACTGGTTCTTATGTAACGGGCTCTCAGACCCCGTCAAGATGCTTTTAGCAGCTTTTTCTTCTGGGACACCCCTCCAGTGTTCTTCTGGAAAAATAAAGCTTTGAAGTTGAACTTGAATTTCTCTTGTGTTTCTTCGTTAATAGTTAGACGGGGACCTTAAAAGATACGCCAAGACAAAGCCGGGATAAACAAAAACGTTTTATACACATCGTTTATGTATGGAAAAGTTTTATTAAAAAAAACGCTCCATAATGTCGCAAGCAGGCGCAAGATTTTTTGTGTTCTCCTTTAACGTGTTTTATTTCCTTCTACTTTACACGTCTCCAAATGTCTCATATTGGAACCTTTCACCCGGTGACATAATGCAACCGCTGTTCCGATTTGGTGCGCTCGGGTACTTGGGATTATATTGGTTCATAATTTTCTTTTGTTGTCGTTGCAAGATATTTCAATATAAAAAAAGCCTAATTTCTTTTGGTAAATAAACAAATTCTGCATAAATTTAGGATTTACCACATTTAGGTAAAACAGAATTGTTGCATGTCACAATAAAGTGTTCTTAATATATTATGTGGTTTTAAAGGGATACTAAACCAAAGAATCTAGTGCCATAATAAGTGGCGCACATTCTTTCCACGAGCCAGCAGCCGCCGGTGTGCGCGAGCACACGCAACGAAAATGACGTCGAAGACCTTCATTCGCGCTTAAAGGCCCGTTCACACGATGCATTTTTCTCGCGCATCTAGTGTAGCGAAACGTAGTTTCGCGAAATAGTTGCGCCGTCTGAACGAGTACGAAAAGGACGCGCGTCCTTTTCGGACTCGTTCAGACGGCGCAACAATTTCGTAAAACTACATTTCGCGACACTAGATGCGCGAGAAAAATGCATTGTGTTAACGGGCCTTAAGAGGACAGAACGGGCCTTAAGAGGACAAAGGAGAATAAAGACAGGTTTTTTATCTCTACAAATAAAAGCTACGTGCTTGTTAGACCAATTAATCGCTTACCTTTTACACCAGACATCACTGTGTAGATGAAAAACTTGTCTTTAATATCATTTGGCCCGAAGCCCATACATTTCACTGTTATCTTAACCGCGAATGGAGATCTTTGACGTCATTTTTGTTGCGTGTGCTCGCGCACACCGGTGGCTGCTGGCTCGTGGAAAGAACGTGCGCCACTTATTATGGACACTAAATTCCTTGGTTCAGTATCCCTTTAAAAGATTCTATAACAAAAAAGTGCGTTTCAAATAAACGAGTGCCGACATCTTAAAATCCAAATTATGAATTCCTTTCAAGAATAATACTGTCACGAATGAAGGTGGCGAGGAGACGACCAGTGTACTGAAGGACAAAAGGTTTAACAGGTGAACTTGTGCCAAGCGAAATAATAAAGAACGAGCGTCGAGGTAGCAGAAAAGCGGGCGGCGATTCGGCGGCGTAACAGAGAGCGAGAGCGAGACTGACTCTACGAGGTCGCGGGTAGCTGCTTATCTACAGTGCGTCACTATCTGGAAAGTTCGGCAAAGAATGTTCGAGCGTCGCGCGCTCGGCACGAGGATGAACTGGCACTTTCGAGAACAAGAAAGCAGGGGGAAAGTTACGTTTGGTGAGCGAATGAACGCGAATCTTCTAGGGGTCCGTGACCGAGCGTTGCATTCTCGGCACTGCGGGCGGCAATATTATGACTTAAAAACCTGTTAGTTTGACGTAGCAATCGTTTGTTATATAGACCAGTGTCTGCTCTGTTCCATGGGCGCCGCCATGTCTGTTTATGCTGACGCCATGACACAGTAGGGGGCTGCGCTTTTTGAAAGACCTAGATTTTTTTAGGAACTTTCGCACATCTCGTGGTGCAAAAACGTCAGAAATGCATGGTCACGAAGCTCCAGGAACAACACCGATAATAAGAGCGCTGTAAAGAGCAAAAATCTTGTTTCATGCGCAGCCCCTCTCTTTACGAAGCCTGCGTTTGATTGAGATTATTAATTCCCATTTTTATCGTTAGGGGCTAGGATTTCGGACACCGGTCTATAGACATCTGCGGATGATAGTTTTTTTTAGTTTGATTTATGACCATGTAGTCAAAAGTTAAGGAAGCTTTAAAACGCATTTTATAACTTTCTAACAAATTTCAGCAGTGCGGCGTTAACCCAGAAATGTTTCTCGGTGTATTTAAAAAACAGTGCCGGGCCAAACATAACTTACAATAACAGAAATTATATATAGTTACTGGTTAGTTGACCCAGATCTGCGCACAATGTAGTGCACAAAAAAGTGTCACACCTTAACTGAAAGTTCTGGCCATTCAATTGTAAATATGCTAAATAACGTTAGTATAATTCCCAGTTACAAAAATAAACTGTTTTATTTAGCTTTTAAATTTGAGTTTCAGCTTTTTCTCTTTTTTCTTCCTTCAGACAATATACTTTACCAAGACATCCTAAACGCGTTACCATTCGGGTCCCAGCTGACAGTCCTATCACTGACGGGAACCAAGCTGCGAGAGATTTTTGAGCACTCTGTAAAAACTTACAGCCTGACGGCGAGACCTGGACGCTTTTTACAAGTATCCGGTGAGTACTCCTCGTTCGCAACATACTTTATGCGGTGGCAGACGTAACAGTTAGAATCGCACAGGGTATTTAGGCTAACTTGTGACAAAACAAAAAAAAAAGCCTGTCGGACCAACGAAACATTGTTCACAGTCCTGTCGAGCAAGTCAAGACATTTTTTTTTTTCGATATACCAAACTTGTTAATTAACACAAATTGATTAGCTAACTTTTTTTATATTAATTTGTGCACAATTCCTTTAATATAAATTTGAAGAGCCTGTTATTAGGCATCACATAGTATCATTTCCATCAATGCAGCATTTGTGTGTCTAATTTTTTTCTGAGATGAAATCAAGTTTTTACATGACTACGCATTAGCGAACTAATATTATTCCCTTAGTTACGTGCATTTCTTTTCATCTCGTGCGCAATTTATTTTAAAAACGTTTAACAAACGAAGCCGATATTGATGATGACACGATCGTACATTGATCAATACGTCTTATAACTATTCTACTAAAACGTTTGCGCACAAATTAATATTTAAAACGTGATATAATTAGTGTTTGTTAATTAGCCAGCTTGGCACATCTAATAAAAAATATCCTAACTTACTAAACACTACTGTGAACAATACAGTGTTGGTTCTACACGAGCAGCATGCACCAACTTATTTTAAACCTTGCACAAGTTAGAAAAATCATCCTGTGTATTGATGTATATTTTATTGGGAAGGGTTCGAAAACTGCTTGTAAATATGTGAGCTGTTTAGTATCGCGTCCTCGAAAACTTATTGCTGTAAACAAAACACATTTTATATACACTGAGCACCGCACGAAATTTTGAAGTATACACACTATTGGCGCAACACAAAACTCTATGCATCCCATTGCCTCCTATGCGTGTGCATGTCGATGGACTATACACAACTCGGTTTCTAACCGGATTATTCAAAATAAAAATAGGCCCCTAGTCTATCCCATGGACAATAAATTACGCAATGCTAGCGCATAAACCATCATTATCAACTCCAATGTTGTGTGTGTCCCCGATTCTCTTGTCCACATTTTCTCTACGACGCCGCGGACGTATTCGAGGTGCAAATTCCAACTGGAGCTAGCTCCCCGATTCTAAGAAGTACACTGTTAGCAAAAATAACACGCCCAGACGTGTAAACCGTTGTCCCATAGCGGACACGTCGAAACGTGTTCGTTTTACACGGAGCCATCTGTGTTTTTCGTCTACACATGAGGTGCTGTGTAAAGTTAACACGCTACACCGTGTTTGCCTTCCGAGAAGCACGGTTCAACGTGTTCCTTACGAAACATGGCGGCCAGCAGCCGAGAACAGGCGAGGGACGAGCCCAGCCAGCCGCGCCTTTCAGCCGAACTGAAAGCATACAGGACGCGTTCGTTCTCGTTCGATGTCTTTTATGCACAGTAAACAGTCTCCGAGCGGCGGACGTAGCTACGTGCAAAGGTACCTACGTGCATCGTCGGCGGTCGGTGGCGTCGGCAGATACGACAAAACCGCTAGACAAAAACAAAAACAAAAAAAAAAAAGAATATTGAACTTACATGGATAAATAGCTCAGGCAAACTCTTGTAATCGGGCGGTAACTTGCGCCACCTAGTGCGATTTCTAGCAACCAATGAAAAAAAAAGCAGGAGTCTGTTAATACGCTGGGAACTAACACGAGTAGACTGCTACTCTACATACACCACAGACAACACGAGCACCACGTAAGACACAGCAGCGACACATACACAAACACAACACCGACACTACGCCCGACACTTCCTACTAACAACGGACTCTCTCCGCGGCGTATATATGCTTGACATGTACGGGTGAGCTCTTTAGTCGCTGACCGTTACCGATTTATAGAAGAAGACACAAAACACGGCACAATGGACAGCCGTATGTAAGAACTGTTTGCATTTAAAAAGTATGGAGACAAAATCTGTAAAATTAGTCCTTTGCGAAAAACAACGATGTACTAACAATAAATCTTAAACCGGCCATGAAAAAGTTAAAATTTTTGTTATTTTCATGCTCGACCAGTGTTATGAGCAGTCCGACTCGCTTGAATCAGATAGAAAAACAAATGATTGGGATTTTATCAGTACGTATTCAATAATCAATGGAAATTATACTTGCGCAAGGCATTTTTTATATATATTATTGTGAAGGACATCCGCCCAACACTTCACTTCCGCTAGTTGTAGTACGCGTACGGGAGCAGACGCCTTCACTTTGGGGGCGTTTTGATGCAGATTGTTGTCGTATGTCGTGTTGGTGTCGAGCGAAGCGGTGAGGCTTGGGAGTTTGTGACCGGTGTTATTCGTGATCATTATTGTGGCGCTGATGCGTTTTTTTTTAGTTTTTTTTTTTTTTTTTTTTAATATTTCTATATAGCCACATTGAAAATTCACGAGCCAGTGGCAGTGCATTATGCTAAAATCGCGAGCTCCTTCTCTGTTGACGTCGTTTTTCTGGTAGCACTCGTGGATACTGCAAGCGTTTAAACAGTGCGCAGTCTCGCCTACATCCGCGGTGACGTACTTGACCTGTTGAAACTTATTGCTTGCGTCATTTTGGAGTACGCAAGGCAATTATCTCGCTGCTCTAGTTTCGGTTATAAAAGCAAGGCAAAACGCTCGTAGTTCCCGCCCTCAGTACACGTTGGACATCTTCCACACTTTGACACTGGATAACTGGATGAACGAGGATTTACATTTACTTCAGAGGTCACACTCGCCGCTTCCTCACCGTCGAGCAGCAGGATCAGCTGGCGACAAGCCGCGTATGAAAGGCTCGAGCATCAACAGCCCAAGTGCACTCGGTGCCGATGCGGGCGATGCGGGTTTCTGTCAACCGCTAGCCCAGCACAGACCGTGACCGTTCCAGCTCTTCGTCATGACGCGGTGTTGCAGAAAGCAGCGTATAATACCACTACACGGTCCACCGAAGCGAACGCACTGTTATCGTAAATCTTGGCTTGTGATTGCGCCTAAATTTGTAAATAATCTTATTCTTTTTTCTGGAGACGCAAACGAAGGGCATAACAAAATCGTTTGCATATTCCGCATACCTCGCAAAAGCATCAGTCACCTTGCGAGAAGCGCAAAACACGGTGTCCGCACCGTCCTGACTTCCCAGTCTTTTACCTGCTTTAGAGCAGTTTGTACCTGTTAGTAGGTATGTCTACTGAAACTGCAACTTGAAACTTGGGGCAGTGCCAGAGGGAAAAGAGACAAATTCGGGCCTCTTCCCAATGTAAAGAAAAAACACTATGTTCTCTACGTACAAAATTGGTCTCAGTTCATGCATCTGTGGGCAGGTAGAAAATCTTGCCCTAGTTTATTCACACCGCATGATTAGCGCAACAAACTCACACGAGTCACACGAAATTTACAGGAAAACATCGGTGGTGACTTAAGTTTCCCTGAAATTCTGTATAACCGGTCGTTTGCGGGACCGAATCATCTACTCAAGCGGTGTACGTCGCTGTGCGAACACGTCGCTGTGCAAATGCAGTCTAACGACACGAAGCATAGAAACGGCAGATTTAGGGAAACTATCCGAAGTCCCTTGTTCAATTAAAACGACGTAATTTTGTTGAAAACGTCCGCAGCATTTTACTCACGGTATGCGTCGGGAATCTTCCACATTTTTAAACGGAACGAAGGAAGATTTACTTTTAAGAACGCTCGCTGCGTCCTCCCCGACCAGCTGGACCGGATCAGCTGACAACGACGGGGCTAAACCCGTCAAACGCAACCCCACAACAACCAATATGAGCTCCGCGTTAGTGCGGGTTTCTACCTACAAGCACCGCACCACACACCACGAACGTTTCGGCCCTTTCTCGGATCGCCGTGTTGCCCCAAACAGAACGAGATCGCCGAAGAACGCAGCGCTGTCGTGAACCTTGGCTTGTGGTTGCGCACTCGTGGACCCTGTGACTCCCCTCGCTTTCAAAGCACACACGACGAATGGTACTTTCCGTCTTCCGGGAACATCACAGGGGCACTTCTCCGGTCACGTCTTCACTATGTGCTCGCAAAGTGCGAAGCTCTATGCGAAGCTTCTCGCGTCCCGTCAAACCAAAACAATAGCGGCTGCCAGAAATTTCTCCGGTCAAACAAAAAGAACGAAAGCCAACCGGCTCTTGCTTCCACCGTACATCGACGTTGCGCTTGCGCAATGGCCAGATCGGCCAGATCGCTTGCAGTTGAAGCAGTTGAAACGGTTGAAGGTTGAAGCAAAAACGAAACCAACTGCAATGTCACGTGTTCACATCGAAGACACGCTTTTTATATCCATTTTAACTGTTTTGAACGAATAATTGGACCCATGACTTTATTTGTGGTGTGTAAGAAACTATTATCAAGAGCCCTAAACTAAATGCAAGCATGGGCGACATGAGGGAAGCCGCATTGCCATCGACCAGAAAATGGCGGCGAGCCACGGTAAGTGCGGGTTTCGCCAACGTCCCGCGACATGGCGTAATTGCTTTTGGTGCATATCTGTTTCCGAGACATGTTTCTTTCCGCGGCATTTGTCTCGACGGTCCTTTCTAAGTGTGTCCCCAAGCATTCCGGTGCTTCGATAGCCGGCAATGCCGCGGTCGTCGCCGGAGGCGATGCGTGTTATCGAGGTCGGCTACACGGTTATGCGTGTATGACCGAACCAAAACACGTTTTTTACAACCTCGCATGATATCTGAACGTACTATCCGTTACTCATCGTGTAAATTTATGGTAATTTGTGTAAATAGCGTGTTTTTCACCCCAAATATTCACCAAATACACGGCACTTGCTAACAGTGTACGTCTTTGCCGCTGGGTGGCGTCACCTCCTCAGCAGTTGCTGGGCAGTTGCAAAAATCCCACATCGAAAAGCATTACAGGGACGATGCCAATATTGTTGTACTTGCAGTTAATTCTGTTTCGAAATATTCCTTGACGTTCATAGCCTAGAAAACACGTTAGTTCTCTTCTCCGCGAATTCCAG